AACTGCAAGCCTGATTGATCATGGGTTGGAAAAAGAACAACATTGAAAGATGTTTTTATACAGGCTGAAAATGAAAACTACTCAACTGTCATTGATTTCAGTATATAAGAAATTAAATAGATTAACATAAATTAATAGTACTCAAGGGAGTCTGATATGCAAAATATACATTTTATAATCTGTGTACATTTTTACTACTTAAAAGAATAAACTGCAGGTATTTCAAAGATGGGAACTACCAGTATCTAGATGTAATACATTAATGTGAACATGTTTATTAAAAGTTAACCTCTCTATGAAAAGTATTAATAAGCCAAGATGTGCCTAAATATTAGGGTACTTCAAGCTGAAGGTCATATATATAAATATGTTTTAAAATATGAGAGTTAAGAATGATGATGTATCTGATGTCTTGCTTAATAAGATTGACTAGTGCTTGCCCTTAATTTGTAGGACGGTATTGTTTAGGTTACATTAACCTGAAATTTAAAGCATAATTGTTAGGATTCAGGCCCATAAGTGTATAATTAAAATCTATACTATATTAGTGCTACCATGAAAGTCTCACTTATGTTTGGCTGGTTTTCGAGCAGAAAAATAAGCGTACTATGAGCCTTTGATTTGAGATTCTGAGAACTGTGAGGATGGTTTTACTTTTCTTGTCAGTAGTGAAACCCTGGTATCAGTGCAGTTGTTGGGAGTAGAACTGGTTGTGCCGGACACATGTAGGGTTCTGTCCCACTCGTCTTCAGGGGGTTCTGCACGTTATTCCCTTTCCTCCTCCCCCAGCTCCACAGCCCATAGTCGCTAGCTGATGTGTAGAGTCCTGGATGCAAATATTGTGGTTTCTTAGAGGTCAGGGCTTGAATGCACAAAGGATTTTTGTAAACTGAGCTGCAGCATCACGGCAGAAAATGCTACAAAGCTGTCTCTTTCTTCCCCTCCTCTCCCATCTCTCCCTCTTTTCATCAAGATGAAGAATATTGGGCAAGAATAATTTTAAGTGATTTAACAAAACATTATGATTTAAGCTTTGAAGGAAACCTAGAGTTTTCGTGGTGTCCCTTTTATCGTAGGTGTTTAATGTATATTTTAATAATTATAGAACTTGAATTGCTGTAGAATGTGAATGACTAGCCTTGCATTTTATTCCTTTTGACTTTTGTTTGTAAAGGATCTCCTGTGAGCTCTCTTTTTATGATTTAATATGTGTGGTTACTTCCCTGACTTTAGTGAAAAGGTATTAGAGTACTTACTCTGCCATTATCTAACTTCAACTGCAAGTATTAAGTAAGTATATCTTTTACATTTAGTACAGGTCCCATAACCAAAAGAGATTTCTTAGTTTTGGTGGATCGAGAGGTAGCTTTCTGCTGTATATTATGGCAGCTAAAGATCTGATCATAACTGACCCGGAACTTGGATCATGGAAGTGCACTTCGTAGCTACTTGTGTCTAGGTGTAGGAGCACACGATGAGAACCTTATGCTTAGAATGTAGCGGTATCAACAGAGGGTGACTACACTGCAAGACTTAAAAGGTTTAAGCGTGTGACACTATCCTTTTGTTGGGGGGAGCAGGGTATAAAAATACACATACAGGAGATATAGAATAGTTAACAGTAAAATTTTATATGTTATGTTTACCTTCCTTGATATTTATTATTTTGTAGAGACATTTGTGAATGTTTAGAGTTGTTTTTATTATATTTATGTATAAGGTTGACTTTTTTTAAATAAATAAGCCAAAAATTCTTTTTGAATGCCTCTGTCATCTTTTGCAAAGAAAGATAACTTAAAAAGTAAAAACCTTAGAAGAATTAAGAACAAATTCTTTAGGCCTAACAAGTTAGGCAGGTGGCAGTGAGACATTTCAAAGCTGGAATACTATATACACAAAGTTTGAGTTTTGTTTAGGTTCCTCTTGGGTTCAGTAACTTAGGAAAGGCAAATACAAGATGCATTTGGATGGGCTGGAATAAAATAGAAGTGTAACAGTTCTACTTAAAACCACCTTTCCCCAGTTCGTGTATGTGTCTTTATGTCCATGCTCCTGCCCCTATGTCATTCTCGGCCCATGTGTCCTCTTCTCTGCCACTGTCACATATTCCTACAGCACGAGTGGACGTCACTTTGTAGTGGTCACAGCTGTGATGTTGGGATGCCCTTTCTGGTTGCTTTGGGTACAGTGAACCCTTTTCCCTTTGTCCTTTTCCATGTGTTGCCAAATATATTTAAAGTCCAAATACTTTCATTGGACTATGCATATTTTTAATCTGAAAGATGAGCAATACTCAAAAAACATGTTTTATTAAAGTAACTGCAGTTGTTTTTTGCTGAAAAAATGTATTTTTCTGAAAATGTATTTTTCCCTTTTATGTTTTACATTTCATAGTGAATCCTTTTTTCCCTAAGCTTAGGTTCTTTTAATTTATTAGATATGCAAAGGGAATAATCACATGACTGTTTTCTGCAAACATTTACACATGACAATGTATGCACGAGACATCTTTCAATTAAAAATGTTAAAACTGATTTTTTAACTTAGATTTTATAGATCTAGTTTTACAACTTTGGAAAACATCAATTTTTAAACAAAATCAACATATAAGCTGCTTAAAACTTAAGTATGTCTTTTATAATAAGTCTATTTTACATGTAATGGTGACTTAGGACTTGGATTTTCTCTTCCAGTTAATAGGGACATCACATTATGTTGAGTTTTTCCTTCCAGTTCATTATTCAGATCTTACTGCGTATGTAGGAAGTACAGAATGCTACATTTAATCTTAACATGAGATCATGCTCTTTACAAAGTTTTAAAATGAAATCTAAGGCTTTTGTCAGTAGACTGTCTTATGTCCTGAGCAGACTCAATGTCAAATTACGTCTGTCAGAAAGGTTTGAACATAAAGGGAACATTAGCAAGTTATCAAAAGTAAAGTTAAGGAAGTAGAGTAACAGAATTCCTTTTGAACCCATAGTAAGCTCTTCTGGCATGAATTTATAGCCCTCTTCTACCCTTCCAGCCAAAGGTCATTCCAAATGCTATATGTGGAATTTGTCTGAAGGGTAAGGAGTCCAACAAGAAAGGAAAGGCTGAATCACTTATACACTGCTCCCAATGTGATAACAGTGGTGAGTATTGAAATGTCTTCTTAAAATTTTAACCACCCTATTTGTTGCTTCAAAAACTAGGATTTATAGTTTGAGCTAGACTTCAACCAAAGAATCATCAAATACGCAGGATAACTTCTGCGGCATAGACAGGGCCCATGTTATTTTCTTTAACAATGTATTTCATTTCTCTTTGGCAATTAAATATAACAGCCATTCTTGGGAAGTCCTAGAGAAAACTAGTATTTTATATGCCATAGTAAGATAAAAATTGTGTGAAATACTACTAATACTGGTTTTGATTTAGGCCATCCTTCTTGCCTGGATATGACCATGGAGCTTGTTTCTATGATTAAGACCTACCCATGGCAATGTATGGAATGTAAAACATGCATTATATGTGGACAACCCCACCATGAAGAAGAAATGATGTTCTGTGATGTGTGTGACAGAGGTTATCATACTTTTTGTGTGGGCCTTGGTGCTATTCCATCAGGTAAAGATTGAAAAAAAGAAAGAACACTGTCTTTGAGCGATGAGACTTGCCCAGCATCTCCTTTAGGCTGCATAAGCACTGTGAGGACATGAGGAGCCTGCAGACCCTTATGTTCAAATGTGACCAAAGCTGTGACCACCCAGGTCATGAACGCAGCTATTCATCCCCAGACAGCCCAACTAAAGGACAAATAAGATGTCAGAATGCCTAGGCTAAGTTTTAGAAGTATAGTTCAATTTATAAGATGAGCCTGGTGGTGTTCTACTGAAAAACCTGAAGTAACAGACCATTAATTTGTTTCAAAGCTTTGATTTTATTTTTGTATATCATCTATTTAGAAATTTAACAAAATGATTGCTATGTCTTTATACATATTAAACCAGATTTCTGTAAATTGAGGCAGCATGACAATTCCAGATAACTTTAGAATAAACACAGAATCGAATAAATCACAGTAACTGGACTAAAACGTTACACAGATAATTGTGTAAATTTAGAACTTATTTGCATAGTTAACACCGTATAATACTCTATAAAATATACGCCTAAAGCTAAGTTTCCTGGGAGTCATTAAGAAGCAAGCAACTTAAATAATGACTTAAGGTTATGTTGTAATTCAGATCAAGTAAATATGTAGTAGTTTATCGTTGTGCTTTAAAAACTTGAAAGTGCTACATCAGCACAGTACATCAGGACTTCAGAGAATGCTGTTAGACACACAACTGCCAGTAAACAGCCGAAGGCGGCTTTAAAAAGCTAAATTCAGTAATGGGTTTTATGTTGGGATTTTTATTAAACTTTTGAAGTTTGATACTGTTTGAATTTCAGGAAGATTACAATAATCTTGTGAAGGTCCGGAACATTGTGTAGCATGGCTTTCTCCCCCAACCCCCTTAATTTACACTGAATCTCACGTGGCATTGATTACATTGGTTATTTCAGGGGAAGTTTACATTTTTCCCCTTAAATTAAGAAACTTCTTTAGTGCCCTTCTCAACGCAAATTCCAGAGAGGAACATCATTAGTGACAGCTAAGGAAGGATAGCGTAAATGGGCTTATAATTCAGTCCTGTAAAAATAAAGTTTCGTTTATATTAACTAACAATTTTTCTCCTAGGTCGCTGGATTTGTGACTGTTGTCAGCGAGCCCCCCCAACACCCAGGAAAGTGGGCAGAAGGGGGAAAAACAGCAAAGAGGGATAAAATAGGTTTTTGACCCTAATGTTGTATATGCATTTAAGTGGAATATTTGGTGCCAATTTATTTACATTTTCATTTTTATGTCAATAAAAGAATTTTGAAATTTAAATACAGGCTTAAAATCTGCAGTTGATTTGTTATGACCTACTCTTACCCTTGAAACTAATTCCAAGTAGAGAATCTTCCAAAAGAGTTTTTACCTCTTAGTACTTTGGCTCTCTTCAAAAATTCAGTGGAAATATTTAGCAACTTAATTAAAAATACTTAACTATTTCTCCAGTAGCCTGAAAAGTTACTATTATTTTCATGAAACTTTCCTAATATGCATTATTTCTGGCCTACCATAGGCAGTATTACAAAGTTATTTAATAACTAAAAAATTTTAATTGATAGGTAGCCCAAGATTAAAATGACAAACGGCCTATTAAGATTTGGTGCAGCTGGATTTAAAATTGCAATTATTGGCACAGGAACAAAAAGTCTGTAAATACCTGCCTGCCAGGAAATCCTGTTTGGATAGAAAGTACCAGCCCTACAGGGGCTTTAGTCCCGGCTCAGGGGAGTGTAAATAAATCATTACATTTCCGAAGTGATTTTAGTTACTCTTGAAAACTTACACACTGAACTTCGTTTAGAATCTCTAGAATAAAATTATAATGTTATCAACCTTTTAATATGATCTGTGTAACTGCATGAAAGGTTGCTCTATTTTGATTTCTTTTGTATAATAAACCTAAGTCACTGCAGTAATCTTTTTCATCACCTGACAATCAAAATGGAGTTTGAACGTTTTATTGTGTATATTCCTTTTATAGGAGTTTTGATCTCGAAAACAAATAATGTGCTTGCCGCTTTTCCAATTTAGGGGTTTTGGGGTAACTGAGGTAAAAAAAAAGAACTGTATATGGCTTTATTTTTCCATTCCTCAACTAGAAACGGTAACCAGAACTTCAACCAGGTAAAAGTAGCAAGGTTCACAGCAAACTGCAATCAACGTCATAGCTTAGGGGTATTATACTCCAGAGTATGCTAAGTGACTCAGAAAAGAATTTCAAGTACCAGTTTCAAAATACTAATTAATATTGTCCAAAGAACAGATTCCTCCTCTTGAGGTGCGTCTTCCGGAGCATAAGCGTGCTTCTGACCGGGGTCTGTGCCATCTGAGGAGTAAGCAGGCTCACCAAGTGGGTACTGTTCGATTGTTTTATCGTAATACACTTTCATTTCAAACTCGCTCTCGTGGTGAGATGGGTGTCCGTAGATCCCTATTCCCACAGGGCGCTGGAAATGTGCTGGTATGAAAACAACGTCCTGGCCACAGGTGACCGACTGTAACTCATAGTCATCGAAACTCGGATGGAGGGTGCTATCGGATACGTACAGGTCTGCATCTCCTTTTAAGCTCTGCATCTTAAGAATGATCTTTCCCTCATGATTTAACCTCAAGTAACTATAATTCCCAGCTCCTATCTGACCCTGAACAACGTGCAGAAGGATCCATTCTTCCGGGACGTCCTCCTCTTCAGAGCAGTTCGCTAAGGACAAGGCCTGCGATGCCAGCAGCATCAGCAGAGCTCTCCTCCAGGGAGCTGCTGTCCTCCGGGGAGCGGCCATGGCTGGAGGGCTCAGCTCATGGACTTCCTCATCTGTCAGCGCTCTGTGGGCAAAACCACAGGTGACACGCTTAGCCACAGCGCCTGCCTCCGCGGGCGCCCCGCCAAGCAGGCCGGGGGCGTCTCCGGGCCCAGGGAGTCTTCAAGCCGGGCGAATCCATTTCGGGCCCACCCCGGGGCCCCCGCCACCAGCCAGGGAGGGGGACAGCAGGGCAGAGGAGAGGAGAGCAGAGGAGGAGGAAAGGGGAGCAGGGCAGAGGAGAGCGCAAGGGAGAGGGGGGACGCAAGGAAGGGAAGAGGGGAGAGGGAAGGGGAGAGGGGGGAAGGGCCGCCGAGCCTCCCCCAACAGCGCGGCGTCCACCAGGCGCGGGGCACGGCCGCCATCGCGCCTCCCGGACTCACCACCGCTCCCCGCAGGGCGCCGCGCGGCCCCAGGAGCATCCGGACCCCGGCCCGGGCCCGGCCGGAGGAGGCGGAAGTGAGGTCGCGACCCGGAAATGAAACAATGCGGAAGGGAGAAGCCTGGTAAGAACCGACCGGAAGGGAGGTGCCACACGGAAGTGAGGCAGATGGAGGATAGAGGTGCAGCTTGGACATCGCGAGAATGGCCAAGGGGCGTGGCCTCCAAGGGGCGGTTCGTAACCATAGCGACGCGGACGCGGACACGGACGCGGACGCGGGCGGGGCCGGAGTCCTCCGGTGTTTGCGGAGCCCAGGCGGAATCCGACGAGAGCGGACCTGACTGCGGGTGAGGGACGCGTCTACCGGCACGCCGGGTCTGGCACCTGTTCTCTGTTCCCCTGTATGAGCGCCCGGGTCCTCGTCCCCCCACACACGAGACACTCCGGTACCCGTCCCCGCCCCCCACACACGAGACACTCCGGGTCCCCGTCCCCGCCCCCCACACACGAGACACTCCGGGTCCCCGTCCCCCCCACACACGAGACACTCCGGGTCCCGGTCGGGTCCGCAGTGGGCAGCCTGGCCGGCCGCGCGGGGTCGGGCAGCGCTGCGGGGGAGGGTCCGGGCGCCGGCTCATGTTTCTTTCCAGAACTGGGCACTTTGTGAAATGCCCCTTGAGGAAGCGTCGCACGGAGCTGAATTTAGAGTCGGGATTTATC